TTAAAAGGAGTAATTTAAATAAGTCAAATGCTTTAAATTAAACAGTATTAAAAAGCTAATAAGAAATTAAAATTTAGAAATGACAAATTTTTTATTTAAAATTAATCAAGATATTATCCTGCTCTAATGTGATTCAAAATTAATTTTTTGATGTAAAATCAGGATCTGAAGTCAAAGTTTTTTAATAACTAGTAATTTAAAAAACAGCATGGCAAATTCATAAAGATCATCAAGAAAGGCAAAATTCAGAAAACCCAAAAAGACAACATTGCCCAAATTCCATGAAAAATGAATTTTTAAATTCTAAATAAAATAAAAATAAGATTTTTTTTTTTAATTGGATAAGGAGAAATAGTTCAAAACAGCCAAATAATTGATAAAAGTTGATAGAAATAAAGTATCTATATAAGATGGAAAGAGTACAAAACAATAGTAATTGAATTGAAAGCAAAATTTCTAGAAATAAAGCAAAAATATAAAAAAAATTAATAAATAAAATAGGCAAATTACTAGAAAGTAATAGAAAATAAGTAATTTATTATACTCATTTTGAATAATTTATGAGTTCTGCGAAATTTTCTGATTACCCACACCCTGTCTCGAAAAGTATTCAGAAGATTCTATGTCGCCGAAATAGTTTTGACAATCCATGATGATAGCAAAACGTACTTATGGGGCAGCCTAGTTATGCGTACTGCAAACAGGTATGTTGGGTTTCACCTTCCAAATTTGCCAGTCTTTCTTCTGATTAGTGGTTGTCTTTGCATTGAGTATACCTTTTTTTCATGTAACAAATCGTAAGGGACTGTAGAGTTTGCCAGCTGATGAAAAAGCGTTGCATTTTTTTTGGAAATATCACATTTTGCACTGGGGTAGAGAATGAAAAAATACACATTCCATGAAGTTGTACAGCACAAAGTCCAAAATCCAGACATCCACTATCAAAAATGATGTAAAATCTGGACCTCAAAACCGCCAACAATCTGTTTTTCCCCCTTATTTAATGCTTTACACATGCACATTCGATTCTCCCCCCCTAATAAATGAAACACGCGAAGAGTCCCGATTCTTAATTTCTCACAGGCACTAAACAAATACCTCATTACTTAAGAAACAATAATTTAGCGTAAATTTGTGTGATCAATAATTTGGCTCCGTAGTAGCATATCTGCTTGGCATACATCTCAGACCAAAACATTCTAGATAAGAAACATCGTTGATTTTACACCTACTAATATTTTATATCCCTAACGCCAACTTGGTGAACCGTTATTTATTATATTTTGCTTTCATCACCGCATTTTTATCCAATACATGAGCACTTGAGTAATGACTCATGCAGCAATGCCCAAACTATATTTTTTTTATAATAGTAATTTAGTAAACAAAGGGTATAGTAACCTTTTATGTTGACATTACGCTTGGCAATGATTACAGATTTAAGTTAAATGCGCTTAGAAATATTGATGAGGAAAAATTTAACAAAAATTTCTTTCCATATGCTAAAAATAGGTTTTGTGAATGATACTCATAAGCCAAAAGATTACATTTAGTGCTATTTGTTTATCACATTAACCCAGAACCGGTGCCAGAGCTTGTATGGCCACACCGGGCAGCAGAATATAGGGTAGACAAGATTTTTGGAATTTAGAGAAGCACCGAGTATCAAAATTAAGCAATGAAAATATTATTGGAATTTAAGGAAAGCACTGGGATCCAAAATTTAGGGACAGCACAAATTTAGAACTTAAGGAGAGTTTAGGACCTGCAGAGACTGCATCAGGCAGTAAGATATCTAGCACTGGCCCTCGATAAGCCTTAAGTATGTGTCGGAATTTATTTATTCAGGACTCGGAGAAGCCGTAAGTATGTGAAGAAACAGAGGTAAGTATAATAAGTAACTAAACTAAGAACAACTTGGGCTTTTTTGTCTCAGTGTGCACTAGAAGCAAGACAAAATTTAGTGGAACAACTTGTCTTTCATCATTAATCTCATGATACATAGCCAATAATGTGTACCGGATGCTAAGCTAGTGTAAAATTATACTTTACTGATTCCAAAGAACTTCAGTCAAGGCAGTATATTGCACTGTTCCTTAACTTTCTGATTTGATCCAGCTTAATTATTTTTTTGCAGGCTGTTTTTATTACAGCAATTTTATAAAAAATTAAAGTTTCAACTTTCGATTTTGTCGAAAAGAGTTTCTAATTCTGTAGCTGCAACAGGATCTACAAAGCGAAAGCATATTTTGATGTCCATTAAACAAAAAGTGGAATTGCTGTAAAAAATGGGTAAAGGTATAGCAGTCTCAAAATTATGCGAGGAGTATGGCATTTGAAAGTCAACTGTATATGACATAAGAAAACAGAAAAAGGAACTTTTTGAATTTTTTGTGGATTCTGACACCCCATTCACAATGAATAACCGAAAAAATATTCATTATGCTAGAAGTGAAAATCATAACATGATGACTGAATAGGTCAGACAGTGTCGCAGCGAGGGCGTGCCACTGAAGGGTCAAATGCTAATGGCTCAAGTTAAAATATTTCACTAAGAAATGAACTTAAAAACTAACTGCACATATTTGGCAGGTTGGTTAACCAAATTTAAAAATCTCCATGGTATAAGGCAGTTAACAGTTTGAGGTTAAAATTTTATGCTGAACTATATGCAGATAAATTCATTGAACTCATTAATAGTTAAAAGTTATCTCCAGAACAAATTTACAATGATGATGAAACTTGTCTTTTCAGGCAATATATATCGCAAAATATCTTGGCAACCTCTATAGAAAAGGTTCCAACTCTTGTCAAAGATTCCAAAGCGAGACTAACAATTTTAGCATGCACAAATGCTGCAGGAACGCACAAGTGTAAACTTTTTGTAATTGGAAAAAATACATGACCTCAAGCATTTAAAGGAATAAAGAGTTTGCTGTTATATACTGTGCAAATAAAAGAACACGGATGACACAAGTGTTAATGAATGGTTGGTTTGAAAATCATTTCATACCCAAGGCTTGGAAGAATTCGGTTGGTTTACGGAGGCCTATGTGATATACATGTAGGTTCCGGTTGGTTTACCTGATGATGCAAAAATTGTCCTGATTGTAGACAACTGTTTGGCTCATACTTCACTTAAAATTTTAGCAAAAGAGAAAGTATCCCTATTATTCTTTCCTCCAAATTGTACGTCCATCATTCAGCCTATGGATAATATCGGAATGGCATGCATGCTGAAAATGCAAATATAAAGTAGAATTTTTAAAATCCATGTTACATTTCTTGAATATATTCAAGAATTTTTGAAATATTTTAGCATAAAATCTCCTTTGTGAAGCATCACAAGATTATGGGAGGATATGTCTCCAGATAATTTAAAAACATACTTGGCATAATTTATCGCCAGCTAGCATATTTCATGGTGAGGATGATGAAGATTATAGCCATGAATGTGAAGGTTTACGGATATAGCAAACCAAAGGTTAAATTTTCCAGTTAATGGATTTTTTAAAGAAATGTGGAGACACGGTAATAAATAAAGATGAGAGGTTATTGAAAATGAAAATATTTCAATTGGCAAGTTAGTCGGAATTCTTGACACACCAATTATAGGACTTGGATAATGGAACTTTGTAACTGAATAAGAAATAATGCCTGTCTACAGAATTAAAGGGAAAATATTAGCACAAAAAATGCAACTTAAACAACTTAACATTCAAAGAAATATTTAATAGAGTAAACAAATAAATATTAATCTTTTTTGTAAATTTTGATACCCTTTAGATCATAAATGCTTCATTATTTTATATTTTTAATTTTATAATTTCTACATGCCATCTTACAAGTTTTAAACTGATGATCTAATACCCAGAAAACATCCAAATCTGAAAACGCCCAATGAATCGGTTTTTGGACTTTGTTACTATACTTAATAAAAGATGGAATTTTATGAAAATGCAATGTGAAATTTGCAAACAGAGTGTTAGAATGCGGGTCAAAAATATGTTTGAAAATAGCTGTATCTCGTTTATACCTTTTATTTTGGCGACTTGTATAGAGGCTAAGGAGTAGCGTATTTAATTTATTTAAATTCTGAGCTATATGTAAATAATTTGAAAGCAAATATTCCTTTACATGAAAGTTTGTTCACTTTGGAGAAAAATAAAAGTTCATAAACAGGTTTCTTCAATCAAGTGCTAGTCCACTAGCCAGACATCAGTGTTTTTCCCAATGTGGGGTAAATTCAATAGTCTTTAACATTTCCTGCCACATTTGGCCATTCCAAGCCAGCTGCATGCAGGTCAGTAGGGAATTGCATGCTACCAGATCTCTTGGAAGAGATCCAGAAATGATGTTGACAGACTACTAATCACAAGGGAAGTGTCTCTCTGTCTGATACCTGGGCCATGCCCATGATTTTTTGTTTCAGAATTTCTGGGCATGTCTAAATAGCTTCCTGGACTCTCGTTTGCCTGAAATTTTAGAGGCATCCCTCAATTGGCACATTCATCCTAATTGTTTTCTGTTCTGATGTTATTCCCAGACTCTGACTTGGAATGCGATCCATTATTGCTTACAGGGGTGGTTGGCAACAGATGGCTGATGCACAACAATAAGTCTACTGTTAGATGTGTGGGAACTTTGAGCAGACATTCCCATACTTCAGTCTTTCTCAAGAATGGCTGTTCCCAATAATGTTCCTCTTTCCGACCATGGCTGTTCAAACAACAATGGGGGAAAAAAAAAAAACCCAAGGATTTCTAGAAATTGTTTTATTAGGTATGCATCTAACTTTTAAATTTTAGGATTGATTGCTCTTTTATAGAATTCTTAGTGTACTGCCTCTTTCAAAATCAGGCGCCTAAGGTTTTGCACCAGAATATGGACAAACCATCTTTCAAAATCAGCAAGTACCATGTATGCACTTTATTTATTCATTTCTTTGATAATATGAAAGTGTTTAAATGTATTTTTTTTTTTTTCTTTTTAAACTTTAGGGAAAGTGTGGTTGCTGAAGATGTACAAGAAAATCTATTTGAAAATGAATCTAAATCAAATGTTTCTTTTAAAAAGTCACTTCTAGAAGTGGACAATAAAGAGTTTGATTCTGCTGATGAATTGTGGGGTGATCTGGATAACAGTTTTTTAGTAACAGCAACTCAAATGGAATCATGTAATTCTCTTGCCACAGATACATGTAAACAAAATTTAGAGATTACATCAACAATACCAGAAACAGAACCTTCAAAAGTTGACAAGATAGTCATTGAAGAGCCAAATATTATCTATAAAACAAAATCATCTTTAAATGAAATAAATTACATAGATTTGCAAGCAAAATTTTTAGCATCACAGATAATTACTGAATGGGACTCAGGATCAGATGATGATTGGGACAATGGGTATCTGGAAGCTGATGTTGCTCTGAGTCTCATTCCTGATGAAGTTTTAAGTGGAACTCTTCCTGGTCAAAAGGGAGAAGGTACAGAAAATGAAATATTAAATGCAACAAATAAATCAGACCAAAATGAGTTTTCTGAACGTAATTGCAAAGCCATAGCTTTAAAAGAATTAGAATCTTTTTTTGAAGAGGATACTGAAAAAGTCAGTGAGAATAATTTAAACAGCATATCTTCAGCATTAGTCTCTGAAGCTGAAGAAGCATGTAGTGGAGAGATTTTCAGTAATTTTGATGTAAGTTTTGGTGATGAATCTATTCTTTGCAAACCAGAAGTCCTTTCATGGATAGATGAAGTAGAAAGTGAGTATTTATAATAATTTTGTGAGAAACTCTAAAATGACTTTTTTCAACTTTTTTAATGTCATTGACCCTGGATAATTGATATATAGAAAATTAGTAGAAAAACTGGTGCTTTTCTGTTAAAGCCATACCGCAAACTTCTGACATCATTTTGGTGCATTTATTTCTTTTCCCTTGCCTTTGGCTTGTTACTAAATAGTACAAAAGACTGAAAGCAGCAACAAGGAAATATTCTCTAATTTCATGACAAAATCCTCCTAAAACCCACTCTAGGAAAAGAACACTGTCTACTTTTTTTAGCTTTTTGTGAATAAGCTTTCATCAGCTTCCACATATTTGTTGCATCTATCAATTTTAACATTAGAATGAGATTACAAGGAATTGGCACATACTTCTGTCATGTAATTATTCCAATGAACCATTATGTTGTGATTCATTTGAAGCAAGCTTTGGTTGACAGAGTCTCATAGATGTTACTCATTATATCATAAGTAAATGAACCATACTTCAAAGACAAAAAGAATGCATGATTCATTTAACCATGTATGTACTCAGAACAGTTTTTATTTCCTTGTACAAAGTAAAAGAAGTATTGTAATCACGAAAAATTCTAGGTATCGTATTTCAACAAAAATATCCATTTTGACCGCTGTCAAAAGCAATTTAAGTTAGTGATGTTTTTCCATGACATCTGTACGTAAGGACAGAAAAAGAGACTTCCCCCCCCCCAAATGTATTATAAAATTGATTTAAAATGGATTCGGAAGAGATTTTTTCCTGACATACGCATGTAGGTACATGTACATACGTATATCTCGCATAACTCAAAAACAAGGGGCCTCAGAATGTTGAAATTATGTATATAGAACTGCTATGATGTGTAGTTGTGTACCTCCCATTTTAGTTGCAATCAGTCTTATATGTACACACAGGGTGTATCAGTACAGTGGTGCCAAACTTTCAGGAGCGATAGAGTACACCTAGATGATGGGAAATCGCATAAAAATGCGTGGTCGGAAACGCTTTCCCGGCGCAGTAGTAATGACATGAGACCCAAGAAAGAAAGGACACGAACAGTTGAATTATTCGGGTTGTTTATTATTGAGAGTATAACAAAAAACAAAGAGAAAAACAACATAAAGAGACAACAATTATCATCAAAGGAGGCATCGAAATTATGACATGTACCATGATGCAGGAACCGTGCATCGTGCATCTTCTATGTACCGGAGAAGTGAGGCCTGCATCACGGTCCAGGGTCAAAATTTCAAACACCTTCTTTAATGATGATTGTTGTTTGTTTTTGTTCTTATTTGTTGTCTTCTGCTGTACTAAACATAATAAAACATGTTTTGTCTCGCTGTTTGTGTCTTTCCCGTTTTGCAATTTGTGTCGTCACTACTGCACCAGGAAAGCTTTTCCAACCATGCATTGCTACTTTCCCATCATCTAGGTGTACTTTATCTCTCGTAAAAATTTGTCACTGCTGTACTGATACACCCTGTATAATACACCCACTCTGTTATTCAGCTTGGTGAGCTCATTTTTTCAATTCTAATAAGTCGGTAGATTGTGCATTTTTTTTTTTTTTTTGCATATAAAATGATTGAATTATGCTGTTCTTATTTTCCAGTTAAGGTTTAGTTAATCTGCATGCAATATATGTAGAATTATCAACAGTTGAAAGTTGTTTAAGTGCGGCTAAGCAGGGACGTTGCGGTGCGCAATGAACTGGAAGTTGATCTGTCAGCACTATTGTTATCTTCAGGGCAGATGTTTTTATTTTATTCGGCTTATAATTCCTTACTAAATGTAGTATGTAATCTCGATGTACTCCGTCCGATATGATTTAAATCAAATTCCTCGTCATTATAAATATCACGAATACAAATCAAATAGCTTTCTGGTTGCAATTTTCTAATTTCGGCTATGTGTAAGGTATACTTTACACATGCGCGCGTTGAAAGAAATGTTTAATAAAGTAAACAAATAAATATTAAACTTCTTTTTTTGTAAATTTTGATACCCTTTACATCATAATTGCTCATTATTTTATAAATTATGGTTTAATATTTTTAATTTTATAATTTCTGCATGCCATCTTACCAGATTTAAACTGATGATCTATAATCCGGAATCGCCGAAGTCCCGACGAGTCCGGATTAAAGACTTTTGACTGTATTCCATACACAGAAGTCGCGTGGTGTCTGCATCAAATTTTTTCTTCTCAGCATGAATGAAAGCTGCATAGCCATTTCAGCTTGGTTCATTCAGAACATTTAAATTTCATGAGGTGGTTGTTCAAATGCAGTCTTTCCTTTTAAACAATACCTCTTTCCTGAAGAAACAGAAGATCTCATGGCAAACTACGTTTCATGGCTCTGAGGCATGAAATGCATTGTAATATATATAAGCAGAGGTTTGGATGAAAAATGTGATTCTCAGGCAATGGTTATAAAGGCATTTATTGCCTGGAAAAAGACCAAACCAAACTAGCAATGCCTGGTAGCCCCCCCCAAAAAAATGCCAGAACAAAAAAAAAATTCACTGAATGGTGTGGCTTTAATGGAAAAGTGCTGAAGAAAGATAAAAATGAGATCATAAGATTTATTATACATGTAAAGATTATTATTCTTGATATTTTGAATACTAATTTATTCTATTGATAAATTCAAAACTGAATAGATTGCAACTTGTCAGTTGAAATGATTATCCATTTAAGACTAAGCTGTTGATGTAAATGTGCTTATTTTTCAAAATTTTATAAACTGACTTTTAACCGCTTTCCTTACAAATTTTTTTGAAAAAACTTGCAAAAAATCATCCATCACATTTTTTATTTTATTATTAAACAACAAAAACAAAACAAATCAAAATATGCAGGTTTCAAGTTGAATTTTTTGAAGGTGTAAAAGTATTTAGTTTTAATATTAGTTTACTATCCTGAGTTTTCTCAAGCAAACGAAAAAAAGTTAATCATTAGTCTTTGTATGATAGTTTTTGAAACAAGGGACAACACAAAGTGATACCTGACATTCTATGCTGGTATCTGGCCTCTTCTTCTTACTGGCTTACCGCTGGAATCTCTTTCACGGGAGCACAGAGTGCACTGTCTTGTTGGATTTGATTTTTTTCTACCTCTTCATAATCATTATCTGAAAAATCATCGCTTTCGCTGTCTTGCATCATTGCCATTATTATTTTTTTTCAACGCATGTATTCTTTATACATTACTAATCCACAAGCCGACGTATACTATACAATATTCAATCCCTCCAAAGGAACCGCGCAACCAACAAAATTTGGCAAACTGCCAATCAAAGCTGAATATTTCCTTTTATTTCCTGCAGGCCGAGTAAAACCGTGATAAAACAAATCATACTAACAAATTCTGCTTCGTCCGAGTTTTCACGGGATAATAATTAACTCAATATATACGAACTTCAGATGACTCGGGATAATCAGGCAAGCGGTTAATAAATTTTGTTTGTATAATACGATGTAATGAGAATTGATTTGAAAGTAGATAATTATAATTTATTCTTCTGTTATTCTTTTCTTTTTAATAAATAAATTTTACCTACTTTTCTTTGTATATTTATTGCGAGAATTTTTATTTTTTGCACATCTTCAAATATTAATTTTTAACTTAATTAATTATTTTTCCTAGCACAGATAATAATAAATGATTAGAAAGGAATAGATCAATATCCTGTGCTTGCTGATTGATATTAGAAGTTTAAATATATAAGAATATTTCTTCTTTATTTAGTTCCATTTCTTTTTCATTTTCTATTTGCTCAAGAAATTTTTTTACAGTTTGTAAATTAAGTAGCATCCATCTGTCATGTGTCCTTTGATGTTGACGTCTAGTATTAACAAAAACTGAAAAGTGAAGTAAAAGTTGATAGTAATAAGTAGATGTAAAAGTAAATTTCATGATTTTAGTTTTATTAAGTGTAATTTTAAATCATATAATTAAAATTTTAGTTAAGCTGTTTAATAATGCCATTGTTAAATAGACTGTACTTTACCTTTAGCTGGGTGCAAGTTGGGCACCAGCCATTATTTCAGTTACCATCATTTTATGTGTGGATTCTAATTAATAAAGGTAAATAATTAAGGTTAATTATTTTACTAGGATGTTAATATGTTTAATTACCATGAAAATTCGAGACTTTAAGAATGGAGCAACTTGTACTACTTTTCAAGGTAAAGACGTTTTGCATACTGATGCAAATAATGCGAAAAATCATGACATGCAGATGTAATTAGGAGATGACATTCAATGCTGGTAGAGTGATTCTACCTGTTGTAATGAAAAAATGTTTATAAAGAAACATGATTTGAACCAGAGTTTTATAGTACCTCTTAAATAGATTAAAAGTTTTTGGTTTATAATATTATTTTTCTTTTGTACATTCATTTCTTTTTTCTAATTTTGATTGAGTGTTGTAATTTCTGTATAGATGCAGACTTTTCAGTTCTTTGACAAAGTATAGTGTGGTGAAAATAACTAAAATGAAAATATCTGCTATTGGTGACTATTGTGTCCAGCTAAGGAAAAAGTACTGATTTTCTTCATCTGAATGTAGTGTGTAAATAATTCCTTTATTTTTGTTTTAAGAAAATATTATTGATTTACAGACACAGTGTCACAAAATCCAAAGTGTACACCAGAAGAAATCAAAAAGAAAAAAGATGAAGCTTTGAAAAGGAGGAAAAAAAAATTTAATTAGAGAAAATTTGTCTGAGTTTTGTTATTATATAAAGTGCCTTGATTAGGTTTCACCTGCTGTATATATCGTGCCATACAGATATCTATTGTAAGATGTCACTTTATAAAAATAAGTTTATAAAGAACTAATTTCATGCCTAAAAAAGTGTTTAGGTAAAAGAATTTTGTAATTTTTTTAAATGTAATGATAGCACATTGATATGTGTTTTTATTTGTATAACGGATTATCTAATAATTTTTGTCATCTAAGAATGAAATTTGAAATAAAAAATATTTTCATAAAATATGTTTTTAATTAATTAAAATTTATTGATATATAAATTATTAAAAGGCACAATTCCTTATTATTTGTAAACTTTTTTCCTTGTGTATTAATTGTGGTGGACATTTAAGAATAATTTGAAAAGAATTAGGTAGATATTATTAGTATTACTGTTTGTGTCTAATTGACTCTCTAGCTTATATACAAATCCATAGTGTTTGTATATACAAATCATTGAAAAAAGGAGCATAACAGAGAGTATTTTTTGAACTTTCATATGTGGGTATTTCAGAAATTGATTTTAATTAAAGAAACTATGACACTTTGCTAACTGTAAGAGTGATATCATATTTGAACATCAAGAATGAGAAAATATTTAAATTAGATTTGATCACCTAGATCCTTGCAAATTGCCTGTCGTCAAAGAAGATGTTTTCTTATTTATAATGAAGCATATTCCTATTACACTTGACCAAGATTTTTAAAATGTGATTTAAAAAATTAAGTAAATGGGGTGATCTTCTATTGAAGTTTAATAGTATGCCATCATATCTTGTTTTCCTAGCTACACTAATAGCTTTATGAAACCTTGGAATTATTAATTCATCTTCAGGAAATAAAAAATTTTAAAATATATTATGCTCAAAGACACTTTTTTTTAAACGTTTTGTGTGTTACCTTTAAATATCATGTTCTTCGAACTTAAACCATGAAATTCAATTCAACAGCAATATCGTAAAATACTTTAAAAAGAACACATCTTTAGAATTTCCAATACACAGTCTTGCACACTGGAGATAAAAATGTTTTTACCCATACAGTGTTGTCTTTGCTCGCTTTGAAATCATTGAGTTTCTTAATCAAAAACTCATAAAATGCTTTACAAAATATGAAATCTATAATAATAAAAGCAAGTCTAATGTGTCTGTCTGTCTGACCGAGCTCTCCAGCCAAATCTATCGCACGCAGGGACCTGGAATTTTTTATATGGAAGCACAAAGGGGCTGGCCACCAGACCTCGAAGCCCGATTTTCGATTTTTGAATTAGAAAAATTTAAAAAAAATTATTTATAATTAATTAATCACGGTTTTTTTTGACTCACTGATATTATTATTTGTTTTCAAATAACGTTCGATTGTAACAATTGATTTCTTTATTCTAGCGTTAGTTTGCTGTTTTGACGATACATCTATAATAATAAAAGCAAGTGTAATGTGTCTGTCTCTGTCTGTCTGTCTGTCTCTGACCGAGCTCTCCAGCCAAATCTATCGCACGCAGGGACCTGGAATTTTTTATACGGAAGCACAAAGGGGCTGGCCACCAGACCTCGAAGCCCGATTTTCGATTTTTGAATTAGAAAAATTTTAAAAAAAATTATTTATAATTAATTAATCACGGTTTTTTTGACTCACTGATATTATTATTTGTTTTCAAATAACGTTCGATTGTAACAATTGATTTCTTTATTCTAGCGTTAGTTTGCTGTTTTGACGATACATCTATAATAATAAAAGCAAGTGTAATGTGTTGTCTGTCTGTCTGTCTGTCTGACCGAGCTCTCCAGCCAAATCTATCGCACGCAGGGACCTGGAATTTTTTATACGGAAGCACAAAGGGGCTGGCCACCAGACCTCGAAGCCCGATTTTCGATTTTTGAATTAGAAAAATTTTAAAAAAATTATTTATAATTAATTAAACACGGTTTTTTTGACTCACTGATATTATTATTTGTTTTCAAATAACGTTCGATTGTAACAATTGATTTCTTTATTCTAGCGTTAGTTTTGCTTGTTGTTTTGACGATACATCTATCTATAATAATAAAAGCAAGTGTAATGTGTCTGTCTGTCTGACCGAGCTCTCCAGCCAAATCTATCTATCGCACGCAGGGACCTGGAATTTTTTATACGGAAGCACAAAGGGGCTGGCCACCAGACCTCGAAGCCCGATTTTCGATTTTTGAATTAGAAAAAATTTAAAAAAATTATTTATAATTAATTAATCACGGTTTTTTTGACTCACTGATATTATTATTTGTTTTCAAATAACGTTCGATTGTAACAATTGATTTCTTTATTCTAGCGTTAGTTTGCTGTTTTGACGATACATCTATAATAATAAAAGCAAGTGTAATGTGTCTGTCTGTCTGTCTGTCTGACCGAGCTCTCCAGCCAAATCTATCGCACGCAGGGACCTGGAATTTTTTATACGGAAGCACAAAGGGGCTGGCCACCAGACCTCGAAGCCCGATTTTCGATTTTTGAATTAGAAAAATTTAAAAAAAAAATTATTTATAATTAATTAATCACGGTTTTTTTTTGACTCACTGATATTATTATTTGTTTTCAAATAACGTTCGATTGTAACAATTGATTTCTTTATTCTAGCGTTAGTTTGCTGTTTTGACGATACATCTATAATAATAAAAGCAAGTGTAATGTGTCTGTCTGTCTGTCTGTCTGACCGAGCTCTCCAGCCAAATCTATCGCACGCAGGGACCTGGAATTTTTTATACGGAAGCACAAAGGGGCTGGCCACCAGACCTCGAAGCCCGATTTTCGATTTTTGAATTAGAAAAATTTAAAAAAAAAATATTTATAATTAATTAATCACGGTTTTTTTGACTCACTGATATTATTATTTGTTTTCAAATAACGTTCGATTGTAACAATTGATTTCTTTATTCTAGCGTTAGTTTGCTGTTTTGACGATACATCTATCTATAATAATAAAAGCAAGTGTAATGTGTCTGTCTGTCTGTCTGTCTGTCTGACCGAGCTCTCCAGCCAAATCTATCGCACGCAGGGACCTGGAATTTTTTATACGGAAGCACAAAGGGGCTGGCCACCAGACCTCGAAGCCCGATTTTCGATTTTTGAATTAGAAAAATTTTAAAAAAAATTATTTATAATTAATTAATCACGGTTTTTTTTGACTCACTGATATTATTATTTGTTTTCAAATAACGTTCGATTGTAACAATTGATTTCTTTATTCTAGCGTTAGTTTGCTGTTTTGACGATACATTAAATCGATTAATTACAATTCATTTCTTTTTTGTAGCTTTTTATTTATAATTAATTAATCACGGTTTTTTTTGACTCACTGATATTATTATTTGTTTTCAAATAACGTTCGATTGTAACAATTGATTTCTTTATTCTAGCGTTAGTTTGCTGTTTTGACGATACATTAAATCGATTAATTACAATTCATTTCTTTTTTGTAGCTTGTGGGGGGGGAAGAGAGAGAGACAGTCTACATGTCCTACACTACTATTCCTGCGCTATTCACTTATCTGCATTTTCTAAATGCACGGGCAACGCCGGGCGGGTACAGCTAGTTAATAATAAAAGCAAGTGTAATGTGTCTGTCTGTCTGTCTGACCGAGCTCTCCAGCCAAATCTATCGCACGCAGGGACCTGGAATTTTTTATACGGAAGCACAAAGGGGCTGGCCACCAGACCTCGAAGCCCGATTTTCGATTTTTGAATTAGAAAAATTTAAAAAAAATTATTTATAATTAATTAATCACGGTTTTTTTGACTCACTGATATTATTATTTGTTTTCAAATAACGTTCGATTGTAACAATTGATTTCTTTATTCTAGCGTTAGTTTGCTGTTTTGACGATACATCTATATAATAAAAAAGCAAGTGTAATGTGTCTGTCTGTCTGTCTGACCGAGCTCTCCAGCCAAATCTATCGCACGCAGGGACCTGGAATTTTTTATACGGAAGCACAAAGGGGCTGGCCACCAGACCTCGAAGCCCGATTTTCGATTTTTGAATTAGAAAAATTTAAAAAAATTATTTATAATTAATTAATCACGGTTTTTTTGACTCACTGATATTATTATTTGTTTTCAAATAACGTTCGATTGTAACAATTGATTTCTTTATTCTAGCGTTAGTTTGCTGTTTTGACGATACATCTATAATAATAAAAGCAAGTGTAATGTGTCTGTCTGTCTGTCTGACCGAGCTCTCCAGCCAAATCTATCGCACGCAGGGACCTGGAATTTTTTATACGGAAGCACAAAGGGGCTGGCCACCAGACCTCGAAGCCCGATTTTCGATTTTTGAATTAGAAAAATTTTAAAAAAAAATTATTTATAATTAATTAATCACGGTTTTTTTTGACTCACTGATATTATTATTTGTTTTCAAATAACGTTCGATTGTAACAATTGATTTCTTTATTCTAGCGTTAGTTTGCTGTTTTGACGATACATCTATAATAATAAAAGCAAGTGTAATGTGTCTGTCTGTCTGTCTGTCTGACCGAGCTCTCCAGCCAAATCTATCGCACGCAGGGACCTGGAATTTTTTATACGGAAGCACAAAGGGGCTGGCCACCAGACCTCGAAGCCCGATTTTCGATTTTTGAATTAGAAAAATTTTAAAAAAATTATTTATAATTAATTAATCACGGTTTTTTTGACTCACTGATATTATTATTTGTTTTCAAATAACGTTCGATTGTAACAATTGATTTCTTTATTCTAGCGTTAGTTTGCTGTTTTGACGATACATCTATAATAATAAAAGCAAGTGTAATGTGTCTGTCTGTCTGTCTGTCTGACCGAGCTCTCCAGCCAAATCTATCGCACGCAGGGACCTGGAATTTTTTATACGGAAGCACAAAGGGGCTGGCCACCAGACCTCGAAGCCCGATTTTCGATTTTTGAATTAGAAAAATTTAAAAAAAATTATTTATAATTAATTAATCACGGTTTTTTTGACTCACTGATATTATTATTTGTTTTCAAATAACGTTCGATTGTAACAATTGATTTCTTTATTCTAGCGTTAGTTTGCTGTTTTGACGATACATCTATAATAATAAAAGCAAGTGTAATGTGTCTGTCTGTCTGTCTGACCGAGCTCTCCAGCCAAATCTATCGCACGCAGGGACCTGGAATTTTTTATACGGAAGCACAAAGGGGCTGGCCACCAGACCTCGAAGCCCGATTTTCGATTTTTGAATTAGAAAAATTTTAAAAAAAA